CGGTATTTCGGAAGCAATTTTCTCTTATGTAGCAATACTGAAGGAGGTCATCGCACCTTGAGGCAGAAGCGCCCGGGGAAGGCTGGGCATTGGATATAAAGCACTGAAACAGGACGCACAGGATGGCAGTCATGGCACACCGCAAAAACAAGGTACTGCATATGAGCAATATGGGTGATGTCGGACAGTAAGGATTACCTACAGTTAATGTGAATCAGAAAGCAAATCTGGTTATTTGCTTGCTGTACTGCAAAACAGAGGGCTATAGCAGCAGTTTCAGTGAATTTAAAGGTGCAGGGGGAAAACAGGCTCACTCAAAGCAACTTCCTCATCCCACATTTAAACAGTTACAAACACCTTCCTTTTTGCAAAGGGCAGAGGAACAGGTGGACAGACTTAATTGCCCAATTCACTGGCTATTTAACATCAAGAAAAGCTAGGGTTTTAACCTGCTGTCGTAAGAAAACTAAGTTTATTTAAGACCACTGCTTGTCTGCCTGCACCCTTTGCCCTCACCACTAAAAATCTTTGAACTTTTTAGCAACTTTCACACAAATTTAACACATGGGTAGAAATCTCAAAATTCTCTGAGATTTGGTGGTTTTCCCAACGGCACACAGAGACAGCCTCAAACTATTGTACATTTAGCTACATCTTGAGAAAAATTTGAGCACTACAGTGACCTGTTAAAAGCAAGCAAGGCGTATAGGAGTTTAATTTTTGCAATAGGGGGTCTTGTGATACATTATTAAGTTGACCAGGTCCCTCGTGTCCCTAGTAGAGCTGCAGGGGAAAGAAAAGCTGCAGCACCACCAAGCCTTTGAAATAGGATCAGCTTCATAGTCCAATGCTACAGGAAGTTGCTATTGGAGGCAAAGGACACAAAATGCACCTTTTTCACTTAAAGACATTCTTTATTCAATCTTTTTTTATATACAATATTATTTTTAATCTGTAAAAAGTACATATGCAGGATTCCAGGTCAGAGGCAGAAGGTTTCCGTATCAGAAGATAGACTTTTGCCCTTGTATTATTTCGGAGGAAAAATAATCTGTGAATTTTAGACAAAGCAAGAATAAAGGCAGAATGCAAATCCAACTCCCACCAAGCGATTAGGATTAAAGGCAACAATTCACCGTAACAGGTCAGGCTGTCTCCTTCGACTTCGGTGGTTCCCAACTTTTCTGGGCAATTGCAGAGCAAGCGGTTTGTTAGAAGGAGCTGACAGCCGAAGCAGCTAGTGCTTATCATCTCTGCTACAGTTGTACGCACATAACTTGCAAAAGAGCTTGGGTTTCCTCTTTGTATGGCAACTCAAACTCTTGTGTCAAAGGCTGTTTCTCAAAATTCAAGGAGCTAAAGAGGGGTGTCTTATCAGGGTGAACAGATCTCTGAACTACAGTGTGGATCAAGAGCTTGCTTTCATTTTTCTCTTGTAACAAGAAGCCTGTTTCTTATTTGTCCCCTTAAGAACATGGACTAGACTTATTAATGTACAGAACAGGCTCGATTTGCTAAAAGCCTGTTACCACAGCCCTGAGATGTAAACTGCCTCACCATTTTCTGTGGATGCCAGGTTACTTTGTTGATCCTTTCAATGTCAATGCTATTAACCACTTCTCCATCCAGACTAAGGAGAGTGACATTATGAAGGTTTGTAATATCATTTCCTGAGGGACAGAAGAGAGGATCATAAAAGACAGTCCGACAGGGCTTTGCTTAGCTGTAAGTCAGCACAGGATAGAGCTTTAACCTTAAAGGATGGTATTATAGGGAGTGTGTAATGTCCCTTGTTAGAACCTGGATACTTAACATTCAAATCTTGTAGAATACTGGGTGGGAATATGTCAGTGATTGGGAGGTAGAAGACAGTGATCCACAAATTTGGAGTAGGGAGCTAAAGGAGCCTCAAAGGTATGACTGGCACAGGGAACTACCTGCTTTTCCCTTTACTCCAGCATACTTACTATTTGCCGTAATTTTCTTAAGCCTACAGTTTTAAGGACCATATTGGGCAGCAAAATGAACACCCAGAATATCATTCAAGGGTTTTGTTTTTGTTTAGAGGACAAAGCTAAGAAGTTGACTTCTTGACTGCAGGACACTCACAGCTGCAGGGTGGTCAATGGAAACTGCAGAAATCTGGATTCTTTGAAAAGTCAAACTGTAAGTTAGAAAAAAAAAAAGTACTGCTAGCAGATCCTGACCAACAGGCAAGCTTGAGGCTTGGATTAGGAAAAGAACTGAATCCTTGTTTTGACTGCATGCAAACAGGAAATAGACAATTCTGGGATTTCCAGGCTCTTGCCCAAATCCAATGTGCCAAAACCGTACATTATTTTCTGTTCTTTATTTCATCCTGTAAGAGGAGAGGGTACTGTAAAAATTGCTAAAATGGGACAGCTACCTAAAGAAAACCAGGATTGTTTTGTTAGAGAATACAGTGCAAGACTCAGAAACAACTAGGACTAAAAAGTCATTTTGTGCTTAAATTTACACTCTATCTTCATGAAAGTATGTAAGACAGCAGCAACAGAATGAAAATGGCAATATTCTACCGTACCTTATGTACCCAGAGGGAAAACAGTCTGAACTTTGGGTTGCACATAATGCCATTCTGCAGATCAGAACCTGCTTCTCTGAAGGACTCAGAAAGAGGGCACATCACTTCAGTCAGAAGTTTCAATATCCGTGGCGCTTGGTGATTAAGCACCCACCTTGCTCAGAACTCATTACCTCCAAACTCAGCTTGCTCTAAGAAATCTCAGGATGGAGAGATTCATGAATGACACAGCAATTAGTCCACAAAATGCATTATTTTTGATAGACTATGCACATCAGTAGCTTCTGGAAGAAAAGGATAGTTTGTGTTTTAAGGAGTGATAGAGTAGAAACTGACAGCCGTTGGGGTAGCGGGAAAACGAGAAACAAGTGTCCTTTATTTGGTACCTGCTGCTTGTCTACACAAAGAAGAAATAGCAGTACTGTACATCTGCTTTGAGAAAAATACCATCCCATAACATGAAATGGCTTAGGTCCTCAATTCAAGCATTCTTGTGGCAGTGAGTTAACCCATTGGGATTCATGGAGGAATTAATTTGAAGGGCCGCTCTTTAATTCACATGACGGGGGTGGAAGAGCAGCAAACAATGATAAGAAATTTGCTGTTTCTGAGACTCCAGAATTCTGTCCTCGACCTTTCTCTGAACAGACTGGCAGCCATTCTACATCTGCATTTATCAAGAGGTGTATGGGGTGGAAAGTGTCTTTTTCTTTTTTTTTTTATTTTTAAACAGAAGAGTCTGCTTTTCCTCTTCCTCCACCCAGAGACACTTAGGAGAACAAGGCAATCAAGTACAGTTTTAAACTAGTAAGAGTTCTCATCGGATGGGGAAAACTCGATTTGAAAACACAACATAGCTGAACTTTGGAAAATGAAGTATGACTAGCTCTTCAGTAAGTCACTGAATGCTAAATTAATGTGGGACCAGTAAGAAGAATCAATTTATTAAGCTACTTTTCATTTTAAATGAACAATTACTTGAATCAGTATTATTTACTGTATCAATTAATTTATCAGTTCTCAAATTATTTTTAAGATACTGCTGCAAATTACAGTAACTAAGTAACTGGTATTAAGGTAAAAATATTGAGATTGGGGATTTTTCCAAGCTCTGTGTCTTTTTCCTCTTAAGCTAAAGTACCTGTCTGGAAAAAAGCATCTGACAGCATTTTTTGTCATGTGATGATTTCTGTGTCTAAGTTAGTGTGAAAGACAAGTGAAGACAAATTTTATGGGAGAAATTCTACTATAATGTAGTCAGATATATTATAATATGACGGAGGGAAAAGCTTTTATATATAAAACTTCATATATAAACATTTTTGAGGGAAAGAAATAGCAGTCACTCTCTTTAAATCTGATACTGTATTGCTGTAGCTCACCGAAGAGTTCTTCCACTCACTTTAGTATGAAAACACAATCGAGATTTTTTTGAAGACTCAACCTGTGCACTAATTAGTAGGAAAAGGAGCACCTCACAGCTCTTTTTCAGCAAAGGGGCCAGTCACCATGGCAAAATGATTTGAGAGCTATAAAGGGAAATAAAAAGAATAATTTGAGCTGTAAGGATTCTGGAACAATGATAAAAAAAAAGACATTGATATACACTTGAAAAGACGAAACTTATTTTAGCAAGTAAGTGAAGACTGAAGCAGACTCCATTTAAGTGATACTGTTCTGCCCAGCCTAGGAGTACTTGGGGAAAAAAACTCACGCAGGAAACAGCATCTCATTTCCTATAAACCAATGGAAGAAGATACTCTTCAATTTCTTTTTCAACTCATATGTAAGAGATGTTATGTTGTTTCCCAAGAAGATCATGTTGGCTTTGTACTGGAGCACCGAGAAGAAAAGGAGTTTTGAAAACTAAATCACAGGCAGTTTTTGGATTCTGTCATACACATAACGTTCCATGAATAGTATCCAAAGAATGAAGTTTAACTTTTAGGAAAAATGTCGATTGTGCGGAAAAATACAAAGCAACAAACTCCTGCTGCTTAGCTCAAGGGAAGCATTTTTAAGTGCCATATACTGTATCCTGTTACATAAATCATGAGAGACTGTTTTTCTCATGTTGTCATCTCTGTTTGTTTAGCTAAGAGAACCACAACTAATAAGAGAATGTTTCTTTCCATGTGACACGATTTGTAAGGAAGGGAAGCTTAGGCTCCTTCCTACTCCTGCGATATGCTCCAGACTCTGTGACTGTAGCTTGCCAAGTGATCTCAGCCCACGTTGCTGACAGTGAACTACAAACCAAATGCTTACTAATTGTTTTTTTGGATGTAAGCATACAGCACAGACCTTTCAGCGTTATTTGGAAAAGGGAAAATGAGAAGGCAATAGTTTGTATACTTCAGAGTTGAGTTTTAATAGCTTAGAGGCACTGAGAATGGCTGCCAGTCTGGACAAACAGATGCTCCTTAGAAAATTCAGACAGGTACAGAAAAAAATCCAAATCCTGATGCTGCTGGTGCAGTGATGTTGCTTTTTGTTGTTCCTTTGTTCATGCCATCATCAAACACAAAAAACCCAAAATAAAATCTAGGTATTTGGAACCCACCCGATCTGAAGAGGTGACTGGCGTGTTGTTCCTTGCAACAGCAAACAGCAGCAAGTTCCTCTCCCTGGATGGGAAAGCCTCTTCTTCCTTATGCTGCTGTGTTTATATTAAACAGTAGATTCGATGTCTTGCTAGGGTTCAAAGCACATGAAGTCTCTGTCCTGCAAATACCATACTAACGTGTTTTGGTCATGTATAAAACAGAACTTTTTTTTTCAGTTTTAACTTATCTATATGTTGAAGAGCTTTGTTTCTCACGCCAGTATTTGCTTGAATCAGAGGTCTGGTTTTATCAAGTGTCTGTCTCCTCTCCTGCTTAAAGTCTCAAGTGGTCCATGTAAACAAATCAGAGCTGAAAACAGTCTCTTTTCCTCTTCATAGAGCTGTTTTTATCGATATGCAGGATTTCCTGACAGTGTGGTGTTGGCTAAATGTAAAACAGGCAGAGGATGAGCTTCTGTGTTAAAAACCCAGTTGTCTAGTGGTAGAAGGTCATCATTGGAGAAAAGCAGATACAAATACCTAGATATCAAGACAGAGAGGAAAAATGGTGGGTATTAAAGCAAAGCAACAGACTGGAAGGGGCAACACAGCAGCTTCAGGCCCCACCAGTCAGCAGCTAAAACTATAAACAAGTTACTTGCTTTCAGTATTTATATGGCACCCACACAACCTTCCCTATTGTAATTATCTGAAAAGTCATTTTTAACATGATCAAGCCCTTCAATAAAAAGTTGTTATAAAGACAGTATTTTAATCTCTCCAAGTAACTTTTGTTTTTCAAGACTCCTTTCAAGGACTTGCAATGTAAAACAAACAGACACCAAGCACAAGGATTTCGGGGATAAGGGAGCAAAGAAGTTGGAAAAAAAATCTTAATGGAGTAAACCCACTTGGAAATTACTAATCCTCTTTAATCCAAATCAAAGATTTTGAGGAAGCACAAGAGAAGCCACTGAGCCATGCCAGAGATCTGACTTGCCATCACCATGCTGGCAGCTGGTTCAGCTTCTTGTGGGAAGATATGAGGCAATATATTGTGCAGAAGGGATTCATAAATGCTGTACGTTACAAAGCAAAGCAGAGCAAATAAAGCATGTAACAAAGTTAAAGTTAAGGCTTCTGGGCATATGTGGAAGAAGAGTATTTCTTGGTTCTTTTTTCTTACTACACACTTTTGAATGTGGCTGGAGATATTCTGTACGAGATATTGGTGTTAGGCATCTTTGTAAAGGCTTCCAAACTCCACTGCTCAAATTCATAAGGCATTTCCCTTCTTCCAGAAAGCCTGACTGTACAAGTGCAAGCGTAACATCATGGGTGTACAGGACCTCTCAGCTTCTCCTTCAGCCTGGTTTCTTGCCATCCAGAAAATGACAGGAAAAGCAGCGTGTGACAAGGAAGGGGCACCATTCCTGC